TATAATTTTGTTACAAAACAATCACACAAAGAATGCTTTGTGATTAAAAGCAGGGGAATATGGACCAATAGTAATATTTGCAAGTGAATTTGTAATGCAGAGATTGAATGTTAAAGAAATTCCCATCAAATGATTTCTATTTGTCCTGTGAATAGGAAACAAGGTCTCTATCCAGCCTGATGATGAGGCAGTGAATTGGGAAGGTTGTGGAGAAAGGAGAGAGGAAGTGGGTGCTGTGGAGAACGCAAAAAGCTATTTAAAGATACATGAAATGCAATGTTGAAGATACAGCTAAATTTTGAGACTACAAATTTATAGAGATACTAATTTAGACAGGTCTGTGACTTTCTTAGGCCTTACATAAAGGGGAGAAATGCAACATTTAGATTGATCCAGCTTTAGAGTATTTTCATGCTTATAGAGCTGAGAAACAAGGGACCAGGAACTTTGGGTGGCTGGCAAAGGAGTTGAAGTGATGACCCTGTGGTCTAGGTTGGATATGAAAATAGGAAGAAAATGAAAGAACAAAATGAAGTATAGAGTCTTTAAATGGTCAAAGAAAGAACTGGTATAGTTGAAGTGATAGAATAAGATTTTGAAGAGCTAGAAGGTGGTCAGAGAATGGGACCCAGGTTTTAGAATTTTAGAATAATTCTGGGTAAATACAAAATCTAGAGTTTTATATGGATATGAGTGGCTTAAACATAATGATGGAGTTGAGACAGAAATAGCAAGGAACTATCAAGCTAAGGTGTTGGCTGAATCTTTACAATGACATTAAAGGCAATCCATGTGAGGCCACTTCTTAGGGAAAGGAATGTAGGCAGGGGCCTGTGGCAGTGACAGATAGTAGAGGGCAGCCCCTGGGACTGTGTTGTAAGAAGGTGTTCTAACCTAATGGAATACATGTCAAAGGGGCATGGGGGAGTACTGGATGGGGCGCTCTTCCTCATCCACATGTTATCCTACATGGGCATCCTCTTCTCGAAAAGACTGGGGGAAGTTATGCATTTGGGAAAGAACTAGCCGAGGCTAGGACAGAGGAAGCTGATTATGTGAGTGGAAATTGAGAGCGTAGAAGGAATTGGTGAACATGGAACGAGACACCCAAAGGTGAGTTAAAGGCCTCTTCATGGAGGCTTGTTTCCTGTAACAAAGTTAATATTAGTACCAAACTTTCCTGGAGTGGAGTCTTTGTGATGTGATGCTGCCTAGTTGCTGCATGGTATATGGATCTTTCAGCTTAGTAAAAAATATAGACAGTAAATAAGTTTTAAATGTTGTGGAGGACCAATGAGAGGGCTCATGAAGAAATTATATGATTGAATAAAGAAGATGTCATATATACTAGAGGACCAGTGCACAAAATTTGTGAATGGGCAGGGTTCCTAGACCTGGCCAGGGATCAGGACCAATCAGGGTCTTC